GCCAGCCCCGCCTCGCCCGAGGGCAAAGGGCTGGCCTCCGTCTCGCCCGACGCCTTTGGGCCAGCCCCGCCTCGCCCGAGGGCTGAGGGCTACTCTTCGCCTCGCCCGAGGGCTGAGGGATACACTCCGCCTCGCCCGACCCCCGAGGGGTGGGTTCGGTCACACCCAAGGGATAAGGATTGGGCTCCGCCTCACCCGACGACCGAGGACGAACCTCGCCCTGTTCGATGTCCAAAGGCTGGTTTTATCTTACCTGATAACTTCTCTCCCGTTCCCTCATGACGATGGGTACAGTGCCAGACAAGGCGTTCGGGTCAACCACGGCTTCAAGGACAATACCCTGCACCCCAGTAGAAAAGGTACTGCCAGGGAACAACTGGACAGGTGCTTTAGACCCTCCCAGGCACCGCAGAGCCCAAAAGGTATTGCAGACGCGTACTCCTCGCCCTGTAGAGTTGTAGGCGCCGCCTTTAGCTCTGGGACACGGGACCCAATGAAGAAACACGACAACCACTACACTCCAGAAAAGGATTTGTAATCTCCACAAATGACGGACATGCCGTCACCACATTATGGACCCAAGGGAGTGGCGCCCGCTTCCCGACCCCTCGGGTCCACCAAAACGCAGGACCTTGCCCACAGCGCTACTCCGGACCTCGACTCCGCGTCCCTCCGACAGAGACTCATAGAGCCAGAAGGCGTGCGGAGCAAGGCTGGGCGAGGTTCATAAGTCAAAACCACTGTACTCTAGCCCATACCCTGCGTAGGGCACTATTTTGTAACCATCCTGACATTCTACAGAAGCATCAGACAGTATTGTAGGCGCTTATCTTCCTTTCGCGCCCATCAGAATGAGTAAGGAGGCTAGGTAGAGCATGGATTCTAAGCCCTGGCCCTTGTAAAGTCGTCCCCTTCATCTATAAAAGGGGATGCGCTTCCTCCAGCTAGAGGGACGGAAAAACAACGCAACAGACACACATAGACAAGCTGCCACCAAGCTCTTGGCTTCCTTTCGACCCTTCCATCAGAGACTTGGGACCTGTCCCTCTCTCGATCGTTTGTATCCCCTACTATGAACCATTCACGGTGCTAATAACACGAGCAGCAACAAACTGGACGTAGTGATATTCAGTCCGAACCAGGATAAATCTTGTGTCCTTTAGCACACCATCTGAGCCTAACGCGCATTACTATAAATTTACTTGCGGTGCTTGTACAAAACATCGACAGCTTCCTTCGCACGTGCACTAGGGACGATCAGACGCACCGAAACCATGACCTGACTCGGTGTCCCTATGTCCGATCTCGTGTCACCACGTACCAGTGAGCTAGTGACCTGATGCACCGACCAAATGACCTGACGCTCCACCACTCCACGTCCGTTCACTTCCAGAGAAGGTCCAGAGAGGAGAAAACATGACCTGATGCATCTGGTCGACGATGACCTGACGCGGCCAGCGTCCGGTCTCTCACTCTCTACTTTGCGCGCCAGAACGCCGCCACGTCACCAAACATCAGCATTGACCGGACTCCTACGTTCGATCTCTGGAGAATATGACCGAACGCATAGGTCCAGTCGAGGCCAGTGTTTGGTCACTCACACTTTCACCTCCTTTTCTTCACCGAGTTGATCCGTTTCAACTCCAACTTCTTCTCCTTTAGAAATGTGCCAACACCACCAAGTGTACACCGCCATGTGTAATTGTGTTAGCATTTTTACAATCATTTTTAAGGAGTTAGCCACTCAACTTGCCATGCCACCGATATGCAAACAAGTTTGTCCCTCTTAATAATACGGCCATCTGTCCTAAACCCGGTAATCAACTTCTCTACATATCTATGACCGGTGAAATAAAATGCCCTATAGGTTATACCTTTGCCTTGCGCAATCCATTCCATCTCCTCCAATGTTAATGCAACACATGCACCAACATGATCAACAATGATATGATCCACTTCATATCATCACGTGACCATATTGGTTCATCGATCTTGACTTCACTTGCTCATCACCATTGCCTTGGTCCATCGGCGCCAAGTCATCACTCAACTTGTCCTTCACACTTGCAACTGGTCCGTTGAGCCAAGTCATGTCTTGATCTTCTCTACCTTGATCACATGACTCAATGTCATGTCTCATGTGCAATGAGCTCCTTCATCACATGTGTGAGCTTTGCAACATCTCCGAGCCATTTTCACCTCCATGGCATATGTTGCTCACACACATGTACATGTGGATTAATTTCCTGTGTATCTCACATTAAACACAATTAGTCCACCTAAGGTTGTCACTCAATTATCAAAACTAAACAAGGACCTTTCAATGTGTCCCCGTCTCTAGTAACCCCACTAGGGAGTCAAACACGCGGGCAGCATGAGTTTTCTGATTCTCTAGCAGAAAAGTTTTGTTTTTTTATATGCATTCATTTGTACATGCTCTCCTCAGCTGAGTCTAAAGCCTTGTAGATCCACCCTGCCACTATGGAGTTTCTCTATGTAGCAGGGGGTCTTCTCGTTGCCCATCCACCAACATGCCACCGCTCTACACACCACAAAGAAGGGTCCCCGCCTAGGGTAGAGCGCCGCCACCGCTACCGTCGCGCCTAGGGCCCCTCTCCGTCCTCTCCGGTGCGTCTGCCGAAGCCAAGAAGGGGAGGGGACCCATCCTTTTCCCACAGTTTTCTAGTGTCTTAGTGTTGAGTCCAAATGATTTTGTAGCAAAATAAGATGATTTTCAGTTAGGATCGTGTGTCCTGTGATGACTTCGGTGATTGCCACGATGAGATTGTCATTGCAGGCGTCGATTTCATCAGTAGGCGGCCAATTTGTGGCCTTTATTTATAAGGGGAGGGGTGCCTCTGGAAGGCCCTTACGTGGACAGCGACTCTGGGTCATCGATCTCATCGTCGATGGTTGCGGAGAGGAAGTCAAGATCTCTTGTTGATGAATATGCATCCTAAGTCATACCCGACAATGCAATTGTCGACATTCTTTCAGCGATTTAGATGCATTTTAGATTGGTTTCGAAGCGTTTGGATCTTACGGTATGTCCTATATTTTGGGGTTGGTTGTTGGATTTAGTATAAGGACTGCACTTTGCTCCGGCGTTTGAGGGAAGTCATTGGAAAAGAAGGCGATGGAAGAAACTAGATAGAATATTTTGTATTTTTTATTTAGATTTTTTATGTGTAATTTAGGATGTACTGTGCCAAGATTTAATATAAGTCTCCCACCCTTAAAAAAAATGCTTCCAACATTTTTTTTTTCTCAGGACGTTCTGACAAACTACAAGGGCAGCATGACCAATCTCTCAAGGCACTCAAGCTCTAAGGCCTAACTCTCGTAAGGATAGAGTATATTGTTTATGGGATGTAATCTTTTATGCATGGATTATAGAAACACTTATTCTTACATGTGACAATGAGGTGACCCTGCGCGCAGATGCGCCATGGGAGACATGATGTAAAACAAATGGTTTTAAAGTTGAGAGGACGTAACAAATTGTTTTTTAAATGAGAAGGCAAAATCCGATGATCACGGAAATTGAGGACAGTAAACTGTTTTATTCTTTGTTGAAAATTCGACGTGCTTAAGAGCATCTCCGGGAGTTTGGAATAATTTAGTTGCTAAACTAATCGATTTAGCAAGTTAATAAAAAAAATAGCAACCTTATATTTTATCCTTCTCCAACAGTTTTCTATTTTAACTTTCTAAAATCTAAAATAGGGTTCACGTCCGATTTATTTTCGGATCGGTTTGGAGCTAATCCATGCACACTGCTGCCGCCCTTTCATCCCTCTGTGTGTGAGTGCTCTGCCGAAGCTGCCTCAGCAAAGGCTCGGGCGCCTGGCCATGCATCTGCCTGTTGCTCCATGCCACCGTTAGGCATTCAACCATGGAACACAAGGCTACAAGGGCGGAGGACAGGTACGTACCATGGCGTCAGAGCGGAAGAGCAGCGAGTGGTCGGACCGATGGGCGGCGGCGAAATAGATCATGCCAACAATATATCCCACGACAAAACAAACTGTCACGCGAGAAGTACCGCGAAAACATGTTCACGGAGGAGCGACAGGGAGTTCTCTCGACTTTGAAAACCTACGAGTTGAGGAGGAGATTTGACAACTTTTTATTTTGAAGAAACTCTTTTATCAAACTATTGGAGAAGACTTTTTTTCTTTTTTGCTAAAAAATTAAGATAGGGAGTTGTTTTATCAGGATGCTCTAAAGATAAGTACATTGCTATATGTCAACGGTCTCATATTCCGTCTCATGCACAGCTACGTAGTATTTTTTTTTTGCTTATGTGGAGGAAAGATAAAGGTGAAGAGAAAGAGGTCATGAGCTAAGATTTAGGACTATGAGATACTCCCTCTGTCCACAAAAGAACTCAACTACGGGTTGCGCGCCAGTAAAACTTATTCACGTTTGACTAAATTTCTAGTGAATATTATTCATATTTATGGCTCCAAAATAATTTATTATAAAAATACATTTCGTAATTAATTTAATGATATTTATCTGATATCATAAATATTGATACTTTTTTATCTATAATTGATCGCACTAAGATACTAAATCATGACACTGTGTTAGAATTGTATTTTTTCATGGACGGAGGGCGTAACTATTATACTATTGTATGAGCTATTGTTACCACGTAACTCATAAGTTTTTTTATTCTATACATAAATTAAGAAATTTGAAGTTTAATAAGATCACTTAAAAAACCATTATATATTATTTAATAAGTCGTCTTAAAATTACGTGATATAATGCATGAGACCAGATACAACACCAAGCCCTCGTTGACTTGTGGGGCCCAGAGGTGGTGTGCAACGTGTACTTCGACAACCCACCTCACGTGGATCTCATAGCGTCGGCCGTCGAGGCATTGACCCCCCTCCACCAAGCCACAAAGAATCATCCCCTCCGTCCTCTCCAACATCCGAAGAAACCACCCCAAATTGCGCACCCGCCTGTACGAATCTCCGCGCGCCATGGCCTCATCCCGGAACCCCGATGCACTGGCGGCGCCGGCGCTGACTCCGGCGCCCGCGGCGGTGGCGCTGGAGGCGCAGGCCCAAAACCATAGCATTGCTCCTGGCGACCCGCCGTCGCCGGAGATGGAGACCACGGCGGAGGCGCTCACGCGGGAGGATGTCCTCCGGCGGCGCCGACGCCGCGCGGCCCGGCTAGCCGGTGTGTACCGCCGGCTCTACTGGGCCATGGCTGAGGAGGTGCGCGCGCGGCACCGGCAGTACGTCTGGGACCTCGCCCGGAGCCCACTGGAGGCAGAGCAGCCGCCAGCCCCTCCAGGGGGCCCCATCCCGGCTGCCGGAGAGCCGCCGAGGCCGGCGCCGGTGCCGAGGAGAAAGAAGTGCGGGTTCACAGGGTGCAAGGTGCGGGCCATGGCCACGACCCGCTTCTGCCACTCCCACATCCTCTCCGATCCCAAACAGCTGCTGTACAAGCCCTGCGCGTACATCACCAAGAGGTTCGTCTCTTCTCCCTACACTACACGTGATTTGGAAGAAGGAAGCCGTGGACCTTGGTCTGATTAGGGTTTACTGATTCCGTCGCCTTACTAGTCTGGATCTGGCCAGCTAGTCATTCAGGTTTAGTGTTTCTGAAAGGGGATGCAACCTCTATATCTCAGTTGTGGGTTGGATTGCCATGCTTCTCTGGAGAAATCTTTGAGATGACCCCCATTAGTGCGTTTTTGTATATGTCAATGACTGATTGAAACAGATGGAGTCATTAAAGATGATACTGTATTTGTGGTGATTTATGTGTCATTTTGTGATTTTATTTTGAGGGAAAGTGGTTTTGAATTTCATTCAATAGTGCTAAATAGGATATGTAGGCTCCAGATCGGTTGCTCTATATGGATACTCTGTAGCTCCCATTATCTGTTCATTGTTGCGTAGACAAGTGTTTTCAATCTAGGTGTTGCCTAAATTTGTTCAAGTTTTGAGCATAAATTTGTGTGCTTGTCTTTTCAGTTCTAGCTTTCCGCTTATGGATAGCTGATGTCTCATTTCATAGAATTGTCCCAGTGAACTATAGGAACCTTGCTTTTGATAGCAAGCTATTTTATGATTTAGCAGAGTTGGATCGATCAGTTTCAGCAAATAATGAAATGACATAAGCAAATAATGTATATGGTTATTTTTCTCTGTCTAAGTGAGCTAATATATGTTTTGCTAATGAAATATGATTTCCTATCATCATCATCGAGTTCCATCTAAACAGGTTGTGATTTTGAGTAAGCACCACAAATTGGACGTGCTTTAATTTCTGTGGTTGTCTACTTCATTCAGATTTTTCTGTTTGCAGATTTTGATTTGTATCACTTAACCTATTTAGAATTTGAAAGCTCTGTTTCAAAGGCGTCGCCTAGGCGTCCAGGTGGACCCAGCTTGCCTGGGGTCTTGTTATGCCTTTCTGCTTGATTCATAGTTGTTTTTTTTTTACTTAACCACCAATAGCATAGTAATTCTTTGATATAAATTACTATTTCATACAGTTTTCTTCCCCTTAATTGATTTTAACATGAATGTTCTAACTCTTGCCCTGTTTTTCCAGTGGGCTACAGGGTGGGCTTGTCACCTGTGGTAGGCCGATCATAAAGTCTGCAGCTCCCTCCCTCTGTAATATTCACTTGCAAAGATGTCAGAAAAGCATTGCACAAGCTTATAGGAAGGTTGGCTTTAACCCACCCCTTACAGGCAAGGTCACCCCGAAGTTTAGTGTTTTGGTTGCTGAATGTGTTCGTCAGATCCAAGACAAAAGGAGAAAATCACTGAAACCTACAGCACGATAGAAATGTCCTAAAGATGGAAATGTTCACTGAACCATACCTCGATGTACATGTGTGCACAAACTTCATGATATAATTATTCTGAGATTCATCCAAAGCAGTGATAACGTACTCTGCCAGATTACTACAGTCAGTCCTGGTTCAATGATATGAATAATGGAAACTTGCATTGCATGGTATGCATGAGTTGAAGATTAAAGTGTCATTGGAAGAATGGATGTCACAGGAATAGTTGTCAGTAGCATATTTGAAATGAAAAATTGAATGGACAAGCTCGTGGGAGAATCAAGTATCAACTGCGAGAGCGCGTAGCATGCAGTTATAGAATCTTGAGGAGTTCTATGTTCTATTATTTACCAGGCAGTCTTTGTCATGAGCTTTTGCGAGTTGCTGAACATGCAGCAAGACTGCATGGTTGATATGGTGGTGTGTTGATTGTTGAACATCATCATCTTGTTGGTAGTATTATACAGCCTGCATGACAACTGGTGAGTGCCAGCATCAAACCTACCTACATGGGCTCATATGAAAAGCTTGACCACTCCTAGGATATCACTGTTCACATTGATTTGGTTTCCATTTTGGAGTCACATCCAAATTGCAACCTGTATTGCATGTATAGGTAGCTCGGAGGGAAATCGTGCAAATTCTGGAGGAAACAGAATTATTTCTTGCCAAATTGAAATTCAGTACAGGTGCTTATTGTGTGCTTTGCAGAGAGATGTATGAATGCAAGATCTGTACTTCCATGGCAAATGGACTTTGCACAATATGAGATGCTACTTACCAAGAATGTTGTGCATCATGCACCAAAGTAAGAGCCTTATAAAACGTGCAACTATCAGGATACTGCAGTACACATTTATGTTTATCGGACGTTCGTTGCTTGGTACTGTTATAAAATTTCATGATGTTGGACAAATAATAACCCTTTGTGGCTTTATGGATTTTAGCTGTTAAAAATTTAAAATCTGGCTACAATTTATAGGTGTCCTGGATTGTTTGGTTGCAGTTTAATGGCTGTAAGAACTAAGAACTCAGGTCTGATAAGGGCTAAGGCGAGGCATTTTTCCTGACATCAAGTTTTGCTGTTACTTATTAGATGTTGCAATATGTAAATCTGTAAATGGCATTTGAGTTTACTTTTTTCTTGTTTACCTTATGCTCAGATTTGTATTCCTTCTTTCTAACCGTTAGATTCAATTTATGTGTAATATTTTCCAGCAATATTTAGTTTCCGGTCCTGGTTTTTGTCAGTGACAGCTATTGATTCTTTTTAGTGCCTTACTTTGATCTTGCAAGTTATTCTTCGTCCATTGAAAGGTTATTTCTTAGAGCTGGAGCGCTTGGCGGCAAAGGATGCTCGGTCAGATGGTGGTGGATTTTAAAATTTAGCTGACAGTCGTCGGATGGCAAAGGATGCTCGGTCAGATGGCTTGAGGTAGCAGCAGAGCTGCAGGACAGTTATTTTCTGACGAAGCGGGACCTCTGAAACAGAAATAAAATGATTTCGTAACTATCATTGAGCCTTAATATTAGAATTCAATCAAAAGTACTCTCTCCAACCCATAATAAATAAGTTTCTAAAAAATTTTAGATAGACAAGAACGTTGGCAGACGCATGTATCCTTATTATTTTTTCTTTTTCAGAGGATATTTCTTGAATTTGACGGTTATTGTTTGCATAAGACATAAAGTTTCATCTCTTTTCCTTTTCCAAAGGATATCTCTTGAATTTGACAGTTATTATTGTGTTGCATACTTGCATGTGTCTATAATTAGCTTCTGCATTAGGAGGCAATATTCCATGTTTGTGTAGAATATTATTTTTTAAACAAATTTTTAAACTTAGAATATTTTTTATGTTAGGATGGAGGGAGTATCTAAAGTATGAAAGGTTTTCTGTTAGCTAGCAACTTCGTATTGCTCAATGAGCGCTAGCTCACATGGGGCGATATAACGAAAAAATTAGGTGGAGACTATTCCATGATGCAACCATGGACATCTGCCATGGATTCATACCACATGTCTATATATAATCATCCAATACGTGGAAGAGGTATTAGAAAAAAAACTACAATTCTCCCATACGTTGGATTATTATGAATGGACACGTTACACAGTAAAAAGGATGCTGTGGCCTGGGACGGCGGAGAAGAACATGTGCGGTTCTCCTTCATGTAATTAATATACCCCGTTTGGTGTGGGCCTCTTCCTTTGGAGGCTTAGCTCATCCCATCCTAGTTGCATTGGTCTTCTCTTCATGTGGTGAGGGTACTCGGGGCCCAATACACCAACAATAGTGGAGATAGATCCAAACGCCAAGGCCGATCAGTAGGTTGACGAGGCCGATTTGATGCTAATTCATTGTTCGAAAGACCCACGAAACTGATAAACTCGTCGAGGAGACGCATAGCGGGGATGCTGTAAACTCGTTATGGCCACCTAGAACGTCAGCAAATCTTATTGAGCGACATACTGGACAGCAAAGGGGGTTGGAAGAGGTTGACGTAGAAGATAAAAAGTAAAATAGATTGGTCTTTTCACGATTGGATAGACAAATCTCTCAATCAATTGTGATCCTCTTCTCATATAAATAGAAGAGGTGGTCTTATCTTAGTAGGAAAATCTATTCCACACGTAGTCTAAAAGTTTCTCACGAGATCAGAGGATTTTTCAACTAAAAAAAATCGTGAAGTGTCCTTGGCCAGCGAAAACCACGGTGGCCAGTTTATCGAGCCACAACCAAGCATCTTGTTTAGATGGCATAGGCGTCATCCAAAATCGGTATGGACATGTTTTTGCAGAGTGTAGGCACTTCTGTCGATTCAAATGCAATTTAACCCGAAATGAAGCCAAGGGTCCAAATTTGATTTTAGTTCCATCTTCGACTCTCCAGTCATATTTTGGTCGTCAACAACTTGTCAAAATATTCCGTCTCTTCAAACAATATGCATAAAATACACACGTCTGCTAGCATTTTTAAATTTTACATTGAAGAAAAAATAGAGTACATTTTGAAAAGTTCTGAATGGTCTTTAGTTACAAAAAATATGTAAACTCCCTTAAAACAAAAACTAGAATGAGTTGAGAAAATTTAGTGGAAGTAATATAGTTAATTTTCTAAAACAAAGATCGTGAGCTAGAATCGCACTTATACCCAACAATATATTTTCTTACTAGACAGCTCCTTGAAACCGCGTTCAATGTGAGACAATTTTCAATGTATATATTGACCATTCTTGCAAATTTCTTGTTCTCTGGGACCTGTCCATTCACTAAACTGGCTCCAATGTGCCATCATGACAATGTTCCTACTTTCCGATTCTGAATGTGAACAAAAGGTGATAAATCACAAACTTTTGCTGAACACCTCTGAATTATTGGCGTTAGTGTCGCCACTCGCCACTAGGATGTGATCCAAGTGATGGATTCCCTCACCTTGATGTCTTTCCTAACACTCTTGCTGCCGATAAGCTTCCGAGACCCACCTTTAGCTGAACCAGTCTTAATCCAAAGACAGAACTGACCTGTTAGTTTGCGACACCTCACTTATCTCAAGGCGCCACCGGTAAACAGCTTGAACACTTCTTGGCGGGCCCCACCTCCACCTGCACTTGCACCCAAAATTTCAAACCATCGCATATCAAACACGGAAGGAAGCCGTCTCTGCCTTTAGCGAGTTCGATTCTCCGGCTTTGGCGTTGCACAAAAGCAAGCAATTAGCAGACAGACCAACCATACAATCTTCTTCCCCGTTTGCAGGAGTTGCTTCTTTAGAAGCCGATGGCCATGGCTTTGAGCTTGGGCGGTGGTGGTAGGAGGAGATGGTCGTGCCGAGCAGCGCGCAGGGGGAACGGAGGGGCAGGCTGCCGCCATTTCCACGTCCACTACCACATCCCTCGCCAGGTGTGGGCATTCTCGCCTTCCCGGTTGCCGCCTCGCTTCCTGCTGTTGCCTTATCTGCTGATCCTTTCGGTGCTTTTCTTGGCGGTGCTTGCCTTTCTCGTGTGTTTCGGCTGGCTCACCCTGGTCTATCTTGCGTCGTCGCTGTGGAGCCGTAGCGTGGATCGCGCCGGCGATGCCAATGAATTTGGCGGAGAAGACGAACGGGAGAGACCTTTGAAGCTTGTGACAGAGCATGATGGTCATTCTGGTCTCTCAGAAGTTTGTGTTGAAGGGAAGGAGACAAGAGAGGCCGAAGATGGAGTCTCTGAGGAATCTCAGCACATATCAAGGATGGCTTCAACAGGTATCTGTATCACCGATGACGAGGAGAAGATTGTCAAAGAAGTGATACTGCTCGAGAGAAATTTGAAGGGGTCAAAAGCATTTGCTGAGTTAGATGGCTCCACAGAGAAGCATGATCAGCTGGTGGTAATGGACATTCCAGTTGATTGTTTTCTCGACGAGCCTAACACCAAAGAGTTCAGCACCTCAATTAATGATACAATGAAATTGCTTGATGTGTTGTCAATTGGTCAAGTATTTGATGCAGATACGAAGGAAATATCAGTTTTGGGTTCAACGGAGATTTTGAAATTTATTGACAAGCATGATACTGCAGAAATACTAGTTAACGGTGCTGGGACTGATTTTGTGATTCCAGAGGTTACGTCTTCAGATGATTCAACTACCTATGTCCTTGGAGACAAATACATGAAGGAGATCAAACAAAAACAGAGCCCAGCAGAATTATCAGTTGACACTGTTCCTGAAAAGCTACCTGCAGACGTCACTGATGAATGGCAAGAAACACAAACTTTAGTTATTGAGCATAACAACAAGCAGCCTGAAGCAGCCTCCAATGAAGAATACAGAAAGCGGATTGTTGGTATTTCAGATGAATTTCATGATTCCGTATGTGAAATGGCTGGGTTGCCACTTGATTCTGCAAGTGAAAATATATCTGAAAATGCAACAGCTTCAAAAACTCCGTTACATCAAACAAACAGTGACAAAGATACTGAACATCAAGAAGACCTTATTCAGAACAAGAGAGTGGAGTCATCAACTTCTGCATCTGCTGTTTGTGATTTTGCTGACAGCCATTGGCGAATAATAGAAGAACTTGATGGCTTTGCAAATGAAGAAAACGTTCACGAAGAGGGGACTTCAGTCCTTGAAACGGTACAAGATGAGGATGAGGACATAGATAATTATGCCTCCATGGTTAGTACAAGCACATATACTTTAGTCATTTTTTGCTAATTAGGTGTAGCTTAATTTTCCCCGGGCTCATGTGTCAACTGAATTTGGAAGGGGGCACCACGCAGATTGCCGCTGGTTCGGAGGTCCCCAGCACCGTGGTGGAACTTATGTGGAGTTCTTGATGTGTTTGAAGGAGGTGAAGACTAAATTGAGGTGAGAAGTTGGTCCCTTCTGTGGTCATTTATCCTGTATCAGCCAACCCGCTTATGTTTCATGTTTCTTCTTTATATTGTGGACCGTTAATCCTAATCGGGATGTTAATTAGTATCTCCTATTACAGTTAATAGGATAAATACAAAAAATAGAATAGTCTCGGCCTTTGCCGTCGCACACAGCCAAGTCTTACAAGTTTTTAGCTCAATTGCTAATAAAAAAATAGGGAAAGAGTGAAAATAAATAAATAAAATCATAAACAAATTCTATTATTGCTTTTTCATCAATTCTTGGCAAATATGTTCATAGTGACGGCCTTCAATGCGCTACTCGCCAAGCGAATCATCCTCCTTATATCCTCATGCCATAACAATGCCTAAAATCGTAGCTATCACCCGAATGTAGCCTGCCCATGTCAAGCCACAACTGTCCTTTCCTTTAAAAAAATTGAATTTTTGGCCGTTATGCTACATTGGACTTGGAAGAAAATTTTACAATGAATTATTTTTGGTACCTGGGTTTGTTAATTCAACTTACAGTACATCCACATCACATTTTATTTCGGGACTCATCCTAATCTGCTAGCAACTTTTATGCAGATTTTCAGATGTCGTCAGGGTCCTCAGGGAAGTATTAGGCCTGCTAAAATTTCAAAAAACTAATGCTCATCTCATTCTGCTATCAACAATATTCCTCAGGGCTTGAGGTTTTATTTACCTGCCTTCGCTCTTTTACTATTGTGTGCCATGGCTTTAACCATTTGTTTTTTTTTCTTTATTTTTCTTCATTTTGGAAGCTTTGGGCTTCCAACTATTGGTATTGCTCCAAACAAGGATTGGGTTTTGTGTTTGTGTTTGACCACTGAGATATTGGTTTTTTAGTTTGGAGAATTGGATTGATGTTTACGATGAAGCTACTTCTTTTTGAGTTTTGACTTATTGTAATCTTCTTCATCTTTTTGGCCAAAGTGACCAATGTAATTATACCTTCTTCCTTGAGATTGAAGAAAGCTTGACTGACTGTAATTGGTACGAAATGGAAACACGTCGTGTATACATTCGTTTGTTTTGGCCTGGCTGTCGCATCTAGGAACCAGGTCCGGTGGACAGACTCTAGAGCTGTAAGCTGTCCTTGTTTAGTTTACTGAATCTAGAGCGCTTGTTTGGTAAGATATGTTATGTTAATTGAGATTAATAAGCACTAAGATAATATTTATTTTGTTTGATTTGAATCAATTTATAACAATTATTTTTATCATAATAAACCTTAATTTACTATTAAAATATAGTATGTGCCTTAAATTATACTAATCATCTTCTAATACCATCATTAACCTGCTAATACCCTGCATCCCGCGAGGCTGGCTCTTAAGATACGATTTTGATTCTCATTTCCCGGGTGCTAGGCTTATTCGCCTCTTTTGCATCCACGGAGCCAAAGGATATACCAAAAATATCATAAAAATTGATTTTCACTTGAGCCACTAATATCTTCTTTTTAGTGATTGAATGGAGAGAAGGCACGAACTAAACCAGCAACAAATACCAAACCCAGTACCTAGTGCAGAGAGCTCCTACTCTGTGCGGGGTCTGAGGAAGGGTGTCAGTGGCAAGCCTTACCCTCGGCTGTGCAATGCGAGGAGACCGCGACTCGAACCTGGGATCTTCCGGTCACAGGCAGCAACAAATACCAAAATCAACAAAAAAAATATTTGTTGGTATGCCTTGCAAGTGGTATGAAGAAAGGGATAAGTGAATTATGGAGTAAGGAATAACCATATAAAGTGGGGACAACATTAAAATGGTAAGAGCAAAGTATGTATTCATATGGTAGCATGCAAATTTCAATTATCATCACATTATCTTGCTCTTGCATTTCATCCAAGCAAGTCAATAGTTTTTTTATGTATCTTGTATTACTTGCTTTGGTTGTGTTGTCATCAACTATCAAAAAGGAGGGACACTGTAAAAAAACGTAGACCCTAGCAAGGGCATAGTGAATTTGTTGGTTGATTGAAAACATAACCATTAGGAATAACAACGATTGCTAGCATACATAGTATAGTCCTAATGATGCCAAGATGGACTTGAACTAGGATAAGGTGGAGATCAAGACCTCAAAGAAAGATGAAAGCTAGAGGAGCTTTGAAGATCCTAGAAGACAACCAAGAAACTCAAGACATCATACAAGTGAAGCCCAGGCAAATGGACATGAAGAAACACACTCAGATGAGCACCAGAGTGCTCTCTAGTGCAAGCAACGGAGAAATGCATCAAATAAATAATCTTCCAACAGTCGGCAATGGCTAGTTGACGTGGTAGGGCACCAGATGTGTGTGGTCACCGAAGCTATTCAGTTCTCACTACTTTTGCAACTCGAGTTTGCAACAACTAGTTGAGTTGGTTGGGGCTATATATACCTCATACCCGGCCATTTGGAGTGTGTTAGAGCTTGTTGAAGTTATAGTTGAGTTCAGGTTCATCCCTTTGTGCTCTAGCCACCATATGCTTTAGGCAATTAACTAAAGTGCTTTGTGTTTAGGCTAGTAGGAGGCCGCTTTTAGTGCTTGCTCTAGGTTTAGGTCTAGTTTTCTTAGTAAGGTTTGCATATCGCCTTGCTCGGTGCTTGCTCACACCAAGAGTGTTGTACTTCCTCGGGGCTTGTGGTGTACGTGGGACATGAGGTCCTCCAACTGAGTTTGTGGAGTGGCCGATAGTGGGGTACATGGGACATGAGGCTCACGATGTTTTGGCGGAAGCACACCTAGTGGAGACAGTGGTGAGCGGTTTGGGAGATGCCAGATGGAGACCCACCTATGAGCAGGAAAGGTCCATGTGTTATCCACGGAATTACCTAACTAGGAGCTTGACCCTTGCGAGTATTTGCGAGGGCTACAACAAGGTTTAGTTCAAAATGTGAATTTGCTGATACCTCGACATAAACATCGAGTTTGCATTCTCTAACTTATTTACATTTCCACATTTACTTATTGCATATATTTTGTGTGTGTGTGCGCGCGTCCGCGCACGCTTTACCTTCATAGTCTAGCTTGATAGGTTATTTGATAGAATTGGAACCTTTGCTGCAAAATTCTTTGTGTTAGAGATAGAAACATTTAGAAAACTCCAGTGCATATCTAAACAAAACTTGTATAGGTTTCTAAAAGTGGTTTTAGAGACCATAGTTTTTAAATGACCTCATTCACTCCCCGTCAGGTGTCACCCTTCACTATGATTTGCATGTACATCAACGAGCGACAACTACCTGACTGTGATAATTTGACACCTCATCTTTATTCATGGTTTCGTTCCATTGTTTACCCATTTACACTCATGGTGATATTTCTCATTATTTATGCTGAGAAAATAAATGGGAATTATACAGCGGTTCCATTCTTAGGCATAGGTTTCCCATGCAAGAAGTGTTGAAACAGTATGAGCGCCTGTCTCGGGCGGTGGAGCGGAACCTCGTGCCCTGCCCCTCGGACAGTCACCAAGGTCAGTCCCTTGTACACTTGGCTCCATCCACCAACCTGTTCAAAGCGATCACACAAAGAACAACACAAGCACAGTTGTTAACCCGTCGGGTGATGTCTATCAAGTAAAGGATATATGATAGGCATATTGAATTTAGAAATGTGTGCATCGGTTTCATATATATCTATCATCAGGGAGGCACAGGTTGAGAGGGATGAAGCTCACCTCCTTGATGTCGTCATACCAAGGATACCAACTAACGACAGTGGGAAGGTCCAAAGCATCAATGGAGTATCTTGTTGCTGTCAAGGGGACTACCGAGTCCGTGTCCCCACTGGAAATTAAACAAACCAAAAATCACTCATTCTACTATAGTGTTCTAGATAAGACGATCAGCCGAATCACACGATGGAAATATAGGATTCTAGTCATAATTTGATGCCGATGTATTATGCCATCAACATCTCGTGTCTCGGCATCAGAATGGTCTACGAAGCGAAATAGAATTTTGATTCATGTGTAAATGAAATTCAAATGCAGTTTTATGTCACTTTCCGACGTCTCTAATTTCTCGCTAAACGTGATGACATGTCGATAATGACGCTCTCAGTTCAGTCAAAGGAAAATTTGGGTGTACTTGACTGAAATTTATTGTTTATGACTACAGGTTGGCACAAGTCACAGCTTAAGACAATCTGTAGTCGAGTTGTGGCCTGTTGCTATTCCACATTTCTGCTCGAGAAAATGGCTATTGAGAAGGGGAGTACGTACCTTGTTGACATGAAAGGCTGGAACATTTTGCATTTTTATTTATATTCTTTACATGCGTGGACTTACTACAGTATATGTACCTTCTAAGAGGTGTTTGGTTTGAGAAATAAGGTGGTTCATTTTCTTTTCACTCCTCATTTTTTCTATTTGGCTTGTGAAATAGAATGGGTTAATTTATCATCACCTCATTTCTCACAAACTAATAATTAATATATGCATGAAAAATGTGTTAGTTCCACCAAAATTCATTGGATGAACTTATGATGCATGGAGTGACTCCACAAACCAAACACACTGTAAGATAATCATTTGGTCAAAGCGCGCTGCACGTGAGTCGTGAGGTGAACATCAATCAATGGCTGCTTTGCGTCTCTCGTTCTCTTGCGCAGAAGCTTCGCTAAGGAACATCAGCAGCCTAATCTTATTGAAGACTATTTAAGAAAGAGGGGCGACTCAAGGATATATCAATAGTCAGGCCGGAGAATATGCATATAGGAAACAAACTCGATCTATTACGTCGTGAACTAGTGTTTATGGTATTGGCCACATATCAGCGTTATCAGTGGATATGAATTCAACATCGATTCTTACAAATTTGAAAATGGTTCCAATATTAAAGTAGAATTCTAAATAATCACTATATTTGAATAAATCAATTTCTAGAGTTGTCTTAAATCAGACTTTTTTAAGTTTAATTGAATTTATAGAAAAGTGCATCAAGATTTAGACACAAAATTAATATCGTTAGATACACCATAAATAAACTATATTTTTATAAAGTGTGCTTATTTGGTGTCACGTACTTCTTTCTATAAATTCTGTCGAACTTAAAAAATTTTGACTTAAAAACAACTCCAGAAATTGATTTATTTAAAAATGGAGAGAGTAAAAAAAAATTATAGGCACATGCACTTTCTTTAACTGGTCCTAAATATTTGCAAGTGGCGATAAAACTTTGAAGCCGATCGACCGAATTATGTGCTGCTTGTGTGTTATTCTGACTTGTTATTAGAAACTAACCACTCAAACCTGTATGTGGACTAGAAGTCTCTAGAAGGGAATTAATAACCTTTATTTATTCAGTGTGCGATGAAATGAAACCTATAACGATAATACGATATAGTGTGATTCGCAAAAAGAAAATTAACAAAAAAGAAGCACATGATATATGTAAAAAATATATATCTAATACCTAATAATAAGGAAATAAATCAGGGTTGAAGGAGCAGACCTGAAGACCCATATTCTGAGTCCAGCTGCAATAAGTTCCTTGTAGATATGAAGCATGGTCTTTGGTGAATCTCCCCAGTTGTTGTTGATGGTGTCACTGCAGTCATTAAGCAACACATGCATGCATATAAGCACAAAGCAGCACATGAAACAAACTTGCCAAACTCGATCCCTTTTACAATTTGCAACAGATAGATTGCAACTATACAGAATCGGTTTTTGTGCCAATCGAAAATTAACACACTCAAAGCTAAGGTTTGAACTTGCTAGTTTATGCCGGCCGGCTTACACCAGTTTATATGTGAAGCTTGTCGCATATATTCATTATTCACGTGGTGATGATGCACGCACCTGCAGGTGGCCCATGTGTAGTTTATGCCGGTGACGTTGGCGTGGAGAGCCCGTTGCACCTCCGGGCGGTTGTAATATACCGTGGAGTGCCTTTCGGTGCACGGGTCATAAGACGATCCGCCCCTCTGCATGCGTTCATCATGTGTGTACGTACGTTGTGTACACGGCCCGACGACGGAGAAAACAAAAACCGATCAGATCAGTAGAGACGACAACGACAAGGGAAAACAAATTAAAGGCCGGCCGGCGCCACAAAGCGAACGTCCAAACTTGGCAGCATAACACCCAGCTTAACTTGTCCCAGGTCCAACCACGGGGCGTTTTAGTTTGTTGGATTGCAAAAGCAGAGGAGTGTTCAGAGATGAGAAGGTATTGCAACAAGCTAGTAGCTACGGAGTACTCACGTAGCGGCCCTTGAGCCTCCGGATCCTCCTCGGCGTGGACGACGACGACGACGATGTCTCATTGCATGTGGGCGTGTAGATGCTGTAGGGGTCGATGTCGCCCTGCTCCGCCGTTGCTCTGTCGTAGGCGGCGTTGCACGGCGGCGACGCATGCTCGATTTCGTCGTGCACGCAGGTGGCATCCAGCAACCGGTACGTGGCGTCGGAGATGAGCCCGTGGTTCCACCATGACTCGAACGTGCCCACTTGGTCGTGGTAGTCGTCCGTCACCGCGTTCCCGACCTAGCCCGAATCAAATCAATCACATAGCATAATATAATATATGTAATGTGCCTTCACGTCGTCGATATGACTTGGAGTATGTAGAGGATGTCAATATATGCAAGGACGACGTTGACCGATGATGCGTGCTAGCTAATAGGAGGAGCATTGAGCGTGTACCATGAAGCCTTTGAAGTTGATAATCGGTTTCTCCACGCCTTTGTTCTTCCGGTACACAATCTGGGACAGCTGCGGCACGTAGTGCCCTACATACGGATTTGAAGAATTCCCGATGATCGATGTGATTTACCCGTAGATTGCATTGGAGGAGAAGACTAGATTATATATAGATGGAAAAGCAGTTAGCTAGATTTTTGCCTGCGTAGCTCTCCCCAGAGATGTAGAAATCGCGGTACTTGTACTGCGGGAACCTCTCAAACCATTTCACCAAAAACTTGTAGGAATCGTGAGCTGCATGCAGCAAGTTTGGAAAACGCGCGCTGAAACCTTGAAACAAACAAACCGGAAGCAAGACACACACACAAACCTGTTCTCCTGTCGCCGGAGTCGTAGAGGTCGGAGGTGGTGTTGGTGTAAGAGAATCCGACGCCGGCCGGCGAGTCCAAGAACAGGATGTTCGCCGCTGCAGCCATTCAGATATCGATCACACGCTTCACACGCCAACATCATCACTGCTTTCACAACGAAAATGAAAGCTAAAGACACCGCCCAACTGCAAGCGGCCGGCGTACCATGCATACATACCTCTGTTCCACCGGTACCTGTTGAGGAAGAGCGTCGCGCCGTCCGGCCGGATGCGGAACGCGCCCAGCTCCTCGGAAGCGCCGTAGGCCACCGACGAGCACCCGGGCCCGCCGTTCAGCCACAGCACGAGCGGTGCTGGCTGAGCCTCCGGAGGCACCTCCTGAAGCCAATAGAACAGTGCTCGGCCTGCGTGATGGTTGACGGTGACGTACCCTGAGTACATGGGGAAGTCCACGTCGTCGGGCTGCCCGGGCAGCCGGACGATGCGATCTGCTTCATGCCCCCCTTGTTGGTCCGCCGTGGCCGCCACCGTCGGCGGCGGCCGGAGCTGTGCCCACGCCACTAGCACAGCCACGGCCACTAAGGCTACAGGGAAACGACCGGTCATGGTCTTGGCCCCGGTTCTTGGATTACAATGTGTCGCTTCGCCGACTTTGCTCATGAAGCACATACATATATACACAAAATATAAAGGATAAAGTACACTTTCCAACCCTCAACTCGCGCCAAAGTTCGATTTTCAACCTTCAACTATGAAACCTGTTAAGAAACACCCTCCAACTATCAAAACCGGATAAATTTGGTCCTCGGCTGGTTTTAAAAGCGATTTTCTATTTTCGGGAGGTGCCAAAATTTTATATTATTTTTTTGAGCATCTTAACGTCCTCAAATAAAAAAACTCAAAACTACAAAGTTGTAGATCTCATTGAGAGCGACGAGGGTATAAAAAGTATTTTCATTTAACTCTATACAAATAATATATTAGTGCTCTAATGCGACAAGCGCTAGTAGGCGATTATTATGGTGCTGAAATTTTATATTATTTTTTCGAGCATCTTACTGAACTCAAATGAAAAAATTGAAACTATAAAGTTGTAGATCTCATCGAGGTCTACAATTTACATATAAAAATTATCTTCATCCGACATCATATTGAAGGGTTATGATTTTTCGAAATTTGAGTCTCGTCACGCCACAGTATTGTTTTAATTTGGTTGAAAGCTTACAAAATAAAACACTTGTCTGCTTTAATTTGGTTGAAAGCTTTCCAGCAAGCATGATTGTCTACAATCCAAGGGTTGTTGTAAGCTGTATTTGAACGGGTGTACCAGCCCATGCAGATCCTTCGCTTTGTAAATGGGTTGCTGACGTTTTCTAATTCAGCCTTGGTTGCCGAACCAAACACGAGTTGAGCTGGTGAGAAAACAATCAAAAGCAAGCGTGGATTGGATGGACATCCGTCCGTCCGTCCGACTTGCCAGGTCTCAGGTTGGGTGGTCAAGGAGCCACGGTTTCACACGGGCTCCGCCCGCCGCCAACGCTGGATGATGCCTTTGGAGGGGAGGGGCCAATGCTCTGCCTGCTCTGGACCCCGAGACGATCGCGCTTGTTGAATGCACATGCATATGCACGCAGGAAGGACGACGACGGCACCACCCTTTTTTCCTTTTGTGTCACAATGACTGAACGAAACGAATGAATAAACGGAGATGATGGGTACTGTACACGCTTGCCAGCACTGGTCTGGTCACCGAATGCTCGCTCATGGCCGATGTGTCTAGAGTAGTGTGACAGGCGGTGGACGGTGGGGCGACGCTAACTAATCCGAATATCTGTGATCGATCGGTTCATAATTCAGGTGCACATCGCACGTCAGTGCAGGCACTAGGCCGTCTTCCCTCTCTAGTCTGTTGCGCTCGACATGATGGATCTCGAGTAAGCATACGTACACCACCAACCCCATCCTATGCCGATACGATAGGATTCACGGCATGCGTGGAGTAACTTATATATAGGATCTTGATTAGCCTATTAAACTCATGAAGACCTAAACCATGTTTTGCACTTAGTTGCAACCTAAGCCATCGGAGATACAGCTAGTCAACACGCGTCCACGATGAGAGTGATCACGGACGCGTTTTGCACACCTGCGTCTTATGACCCTCATCGGAGACGTAGGGTGTGCTTGTTTGCGACTAAAATTTGACATGCAAAAGATTTGTTGAATAAAAAAAAATTATGTCATAGATTTGACAAGCCAAATGTGAGAGGTTAACAAATTTTGGTAGCAAACCATAATAACCAAAATCATGGTTTGGCATATTTTAGAAGCAAACCAAGCACCGTGCTACGACGATGAAATCTATACCTAATACTCCGTATTAAAGAGGCAAAATTTCTGCGTTTTTTTTTCGTCTGGCCCATTCTTTGGGTCCAACTGTTCGGTCAGTCACTTACTTCTGGCCCACTCACTGTCCACCTTATCCTTACGACGCTCTAACAACAACAAAAAAACTCTTCGTCTCCGGTCCGCGTTGCCCGTGCCTCTTCGTCTCCCGTCCGTGCGTAGCGCCGCCGCTTCTCCCATCCACGCGCTGTGCTGAGGTCACCGCTCCTCCCGTCCACACGTAGGGCTGTCACACCCTTGGCCGCCGGCGATCGCCGTCGACGTGAGCACGCAAGAAGAAATCGGTTACGAGGACGCCGACAGAGCAAACCCCTCTGCCTTGGCGATTTTCTAATTTCTGATGTAATGTCTGAGTCTCTACTGGATACGGTGCGACACTTATGTGCACTTACAGAGTCTGGCCATCAGGGCCCACAAGACAGTGTATCAACTGGAAAACGTAAATAGACACATACGCCAACTGAGTACATGACACTGCTTTCTTCCATCTCCACCTGCTCATTGTATGTCGTCCGACACGACATCTTCCCCCCCTTGAGGTGCCGCTTATCCCCAAGCTGGCGCATCTAGGAATCTCTTCTTGAGCACATTGTAATCTTCCCAAGTCGTAGCTGATTGTGGAAGGCCGGTCCATGTGACCTTGACTTGAGGAATCGCCGTGTTGCCTTTCTTGACCAACTGGCGCTCCAGCTGCAGCTTCCAAGTCAGTAGTGACTAGAAGGATATCATAGACAGGAGTATAGTCTGCAATGAAAGGCTTTAGCTGAGAAATGTGAAAAACAGGGTGAATCAATGATCCTTCTGGTAATTCGAGCCGATAGGCCACATTGCCAATGTGTTCCTGTACTGTATATGGTCCAAAGTACTTGTAAGCTAGCTTTGAAAAGGGTATGTTAGCCACCGAGGATTGTGTGTATGGCTGGAGTTTCAGCAGCACTTGATCGCCAATAGAGAAATGATAGTCCTGCCTCTTCTGATCTGCCAACAGTTTCATTCGATTATGTGCTTTGGCTAGATTTGTCTTTAGGGCTTCTAAATGCAATTCTCTGTTTTCAATGATCTCAGCTACGGTAGTGGATGTTGAAGCTGGTACATTTGGAACTGCTCCCACATTGGGTTCGTAGCCATACAGGGCCTTAAAAGGTGAGCATCCCAGTGCAGTATGATAAGATGAATTGTACCATAATTCCGCTAATGATAGCCACTGAGTCCAAGCTTTTGGGGAGTCTTGCACAGAGCATCGGAGATACATTTCCAAACATTGGTTGACTCTTTCAGTCTGCCCATCTGTTTGGGGATGGTAGGCAGTGCTGAGTTGGAGATTGACTTTATACAACTTAAACAGCTCTTTCCAAAAGTGACTGAGAAATACAATATCCCTGTCCATGAAAAGCTGTGCAATTGTTGCTGCAATGTATGGGTGTTTGACTGGCTGGAAATGGGCAAATTTAGTGAGCCTGTCGACCACAACCAAGATTACACTGAAGCCCTATGACTTGGGTAAGCCTTCTATAAAGTCCATGGACAAATCCCTCCATACACCTTCTGGAATTGGCAGGGGTTGAAGTAAGCCCAATGGATGAGTGTTGGAGTGTTTAGACTGTTGACAGACATAGCACTGTTTGATAAATGATTCCACATCCTATTTCATACCTTTCCAAGTAAAGTGCCTTTTAAGTTTGTGGTAGGTAGCAACAATACCTGAGTGTCCTCCAAGAGCACTGGAATGACAGGCATCAATGATTTTTGTTTGAAGTGCTGCATTTTGAGCAATCCAGACTTTGCCATGGTGCCTGATCAACCCTCTATCCAAACTGTAACACTGTGCATATGGACTGGAGATGGCCAACCTAGTTAGGAGTTGCTAGGCTTGAGTATCTGTGGTATATGAGTTAAGAACTTCCTGTATCCAAGCAGGTTGCACTAAAGACACATCTTGTAATGACATGAGATGGGCTACTCTAGAGAGTGCATCAGCTACCACATTTTCTTTCCCTTGTCTGTAGACAATCTTGAAATGCAGTCCCATTAGCCTTGTCAGTGCTTTTCTCTGCATCTCAGAGTGTAGGTTTTGTTCATTGAGATGTGCTGGTGATTTGTGATCTGACACTATAATAAACTCTTGCCTTTGTAAATAAGCTCTCCACCTTTCCACTGCCATGATCAGAGCCAAGAACTCCTTTTCATATATGGATAATGCTTTATGTTTCTCTCCTAGGGCTTTGCTAAGATAAACAATGGGTTGACCTTACTGCATCAGCACCGCTCCAATGCCATCATGGCAAGCATCTGTTTCAATTTTAAAGGATTCTTGGAAGTTGGGCAAAGCTAGGACAGGTGTTCTTGTCATTGCCACTTTGACATTGTCAAATGCTGTCCGGGCTTCAGGAGGCTAAGTGAACTATTTCAGTCTGAGCAAGTTGGTCAGTGGTTTGGTTAGGATTCCATAACCTTTTACAAACTGTCTGTAGTAGCCTGTAAGACCCAGAAATGCTCTCAACTCTGTGAATGAAGTAGGAGCTGGCCAGTGGAGCATAGCTGAGATCTTGTTTGGATCTGTGGACATCCCTTTTGCTGATATAATGTGTCCTAGATATTCTAAACGTGACTGTGCAAAAGAATATTTGCTCTCTTTGAGGAAAAGTCTGTGTTTTCTCAATTTAGCCAAGACCTGCTGCAAATGATGTTTGTGGTCTTCCATAGTGGCACTAAAAATTAGGATGTCATCTAAGAAGACCAGTACAAATTTCCTTAGAAATGCCTGCAAGATTTGATTCATGATGCACTGAAAAGTAGCAGGTGCATTTGTAAGGCCAAATGGCATCACCTTGAACTGATAGTGGTCTTGATGAGTTTTAAATGCAGTTTTGTACTCATCCTCTGGATGCATTCTCACTTGATGATATCCTGACCTCATATCTAGCTTGGTGAAGAACTTAGCTCCATGTAATTCATCTAAGATCTCTTCAATGACTGGCATAGGAAATCTGTTTTTGATTGTGATGTCATTCAATTTTCTATAGTCTACACAAAATCTCTAGGTGCCATCCTTCTTTTTGACCAAAAGGACGGTGAAGCAAAGGGACTATGGCTATGGGCTATCAAACCAGCTTGCAAAAGCTCCTGGACTTGTCTCTCAATCTCAATTTTGTGTAATGGTGAATAGTGGTAAGGTTTAGAATTGATAGGAGTAGATCTAG